GACGACCAGCCAAGATGGACATGGTTTGAGGGGGAAAGTTGTCTTCCTCACTCTTCCAAGTAGCTTGTCCACGTCATCGGTACTCACCCTCTTCCAGTACCACATTTCAAATGAACAGAGTTTCTGCCCAGCTTTCACAACCATACAGAAAAAATGGAAATACAATGGCATGGACAATACTGACTTTGATATTAAATCATGTCTTTACACTTGAATATCTTATCTAGTTCCTTCATAGCTGTCCTTCCAAGTCCTAACCTTCTGATTTCTTCACTGAAGTTCCCATTTTGATTAATGGCTGAGCCAAGGTATAGGGAATCTTTCATTATCTCTATGACTTAAATGTTTACTTTAAAATTATGTAAATCATCTGTGGTAATTATTTTTGTCTTCTTATTGTTCAACTTTAAACCTGTCTTTGCACTTCTTCCTTGGTTTTCTTCAGTAGTTGCTCTGAAGAGTCCAACCATTTTGTTATACATCAAGATATTATGTGACTTTTCATACCTGCTTTGTTTGGTTAGTTTGCCTGTTTCAAGGTTATACCCAGATCAGGACAATGGTTGCAATGTAATTAGCGCTGGGTCAACAACCCCTTTTTATAAATTTCTTGCCAGCATTTTGATGGGTACACTATAGCTCCAGCAATAAAACCACTGTTTTTCTGTTGTTGTTACCTTCTCTTCTTCTTTGATCATTCAAGATAACAGACGTTTGCTGCTTTGAAGTCTGGTATGTCATTTGCAATAATAATAATAATAATAATAATAATAATAATAATAATAATAATAATGGAAGGGCAACAGCCCCCCCCCCCCAATATTCTGGAAGATGTGAAAAAAAATTCTGGTTTATGTTGAGTCACACACTGAAATGGTATGAACTTTGCAAGGAAAATGTATAGGGATATAAATTCATCCTCCACGGAAGCACTGAGTAATTTTAATGGTTTTCTTCCCATTGGGAGAAAGTCCTCAAAGTATTTTCAAGAACTATTTGCAGTTCAGAATATATTTTACATATAATCTGCACATTTTGTTTTGCTATGGAAACAAATTTCTGTGTAGAAACTAACATTTTATGCATAGAAATTAACATTTATATGCAGAAATGGTATTGTCTGTAACATAAAATACTATTTGCTGCTCAAAAATGTGTAATTTTTACACAAAATGGGTTCCAAACTGTGGAAAATCCCAACAGTCCAGGATTCTTATTGTCATTGTTTGATGACAACCAAGAAACATACCATCCCTAAAATTATTTGAATATTCTTTCCATCCCTAATGAATGTTTGAAAATGCAGGGAAACCAGCTGGAGGCAAACCAAAACTCTAACTGCATAAGTGTGCAGAGAGATCATTCCTGAGGATTACAGCATCTTGCAAAAGTGCTTCAAGTAATCACCATGCCTTTCCATGCAGGGAATGTTGCTGGTACAATTTTTCCACCCAGAGAGACTCACCTGTTCATATCTGTTGGAAGCAAAATCATCTTCCACAGCTCAGTTCCTCCTTGGTACATTAAATATCTGCTCACTTTCAAGGGCCTGACAACAAGAAGCCAATATCTACTGGTACATCTGTTTAGAGGCAGATGAATCAATAATGCAGTGCCTCATGGGCAGGAAACTAATCTGACCTGCTAGAAATGAAGGTCATCAACAAGGATGCCTCTAAGGCATATTACCGTTCAATCAGACCCTTCATCTGTTTCTGATGCTGATAACCACAGAAACTTGGACTGAAACAGACCAAAGGTAGGCAGGTAGCTGGATACTATTCTGCCAGGACAAACTTATTATTCAGGTCATTTTATTGGAATCATTTGGCCTGGCGGAAGATCTGAATGGATGCCATAGAATTTCTCAGAAATCAAGCTCAGATTATTCCATTGCAGTAGTTGCAGCTTTTTTTCACTTAAAGGGGAGGGGCTGCAAATGAAAGAGAGGAAATGAAATGAATAGTGAATGAGAATTTCCACACTTAATTTACTAGCTTTAAAAATGAATGGAATCTATGCTCAATGCTGATTCCAGGCATCTTACCCATCACGAGCCCTCTGTATATGGCTCCATGCATGTCCATGCCAGTTTTTAGAGTAACATAAGCAAAGATGACAGATTTCTTGCTATAACACTTGATACAAGGTTCCTTAAAATCTTTCCTGTACACAGTTGAAACATAGTATGGCATCCCAACTGCTTGCTAGACATTTTGAACCAAAACAAACAGAACTGGGAGCATCCAAATTGACTTTTTAAAAAAATGTTTTATTCCACACGTTAGTCCAATGTATTTCATTCAAGAAATATTGGTAAGGCACATGCACACACACATTTATATAGCAAGGTTCCACTAAGAATGTTGATAGCATTAGTCTGCATCTGCACTGCAGAAATCATGCAGTTTGACAATACTTTAACTATGATGGCTCAATGCTATGGAATTGTGGGATTGGTAGTTTTGCGAGACATTTAGCCATCTCTGTCAGAGAGCTCTGGTGCCACAGCAAACTAGAAATCCCAGGATTCCATAGCATTGAGCTATGGCACTTAAGGTGGTGACAAACTGCATTATTTCTGTAGTGCAGATGCAGTCTAAGTTTAGTGACACCTACTATACATCATCTTTGGCAGGGGTAGGCAACCTAAGGCCCGGGGGCCGGATGCGGCCCCCCGAGGCCTTTGGACCAGCCCCAAGTCAGTCCTGCCGCCGTTGCCGCTGCCGCCCCCGCCGGCTGCCATGATGATATTGATTATTGTTGTTATTACTTGTTCTTGCGGTTTTCTTGGCAAAATCTCCACAGGAGTTTTGCCATGACTTTTCTGGGGCTGAGAGAGTGTGCATGCATATTTTTAAATTTTTTTATTATTTTTTTAATTTTTAAATTTTATTTTAATTTATTAATTAATTAATTTATTTTTGTTGCTTCGGCCCCCCAATTGTCTGAGGGACAGCAACCCGGCCCCCGGCTCAAAAAGGTTGCCTACCCCTGATCTTTGGCAACTGAAGAAAGAGGAAGCCCAAATGTTTTGGCCTAGATATGAGATGGTATAGTGGTTTGGATGTTTGACTAGGAACCTGGAGGCCAGAGTTCGAATCCCTGCTTGGCCATGGTAACCCACTGGGTGACCTTGAGCAAGTCACATTCCCTCTCAGCCCCAGAGAAAGGCAAGAGCAAACCCCCCACTGAACAAATCTTGCCAAGAAACCTCATCTTAGGGTTATCATATGTCATAAATGACATGAAGGCATACAACAATTATAAACATGGTGTATGTGTGTGTTTCTGATATATCACTTTGCAATGAATGTATTCTATATGACAGTTAACATGAGGCATATGTCCACACATCTGGTTTTTGTATCACTTCAGTCTATAGTTTCCCTATAATTATAAATGCAAGCCATACTACCTTTTTCCTTTTCATAGGCCCTAAAGAAGGGCATAGATGTATTTCTTATCTGATATGTGTTGATTTATGCTAAGAGTGTGCAGAGTGTGCGCAGGACTGCCATTCATCAGCTCCATACATCTCTTGATCTGTAGCTTCCTACAGCATGCAGCATTCCATTAAGCCAAACCAGAGATCAGATTCCCTTCAAAAGAAGATTCTTTATTCTTCACTTGCAGAATTAACATGATAATTATTTACATTGTAGAACATCCAGTAGTAGGCAGAAAACAAAAGAAACTCCTTGCCAAGCCCAGCACTCCACTCAAGGCAAAGGCCAAAACCCCCAGGTTGATACCTTTATAAACATTTGCTAAACGGCTTCTAAACCCAGCCTTCTTCCTGTGTCCTGTGTCATATGTCCAATGGTTCTCACACAACTAGATGACCTAATTTGTTTTCTTCTTGTATCCTGTGTTCCCAGACACACACACACTGACCTTGGTTATGTTGTTTTCGTGTAATCCACCTGCAGGCTAAAACTTTCACAGCTAGAATTTTCCCACATCTGTACATTTCCACTTTGACTGCATTGGGCTATTTTGTGGAATCAAACTTCATTTACACATTCCAAGATGCCAACTTTCTTTGACATCAGGTGGACCAGAATGGTCAGGATAAAAGACATCGGCCCATTACTTCACTAAACAGAGATGGCTAAATCTCTAAATTTCAGTTTTGCGGAATTTCCCATTTCCCAAATTACAGGATTATTCAGCCTGTGTTTACATCATTTTGCAAAGGTATCAAATTTTGTTCAAAACAAGGCATTGCCAAAGAGTCATATGTATTTTTGTATTCATTTCCCCTAAAAATACACAGTTCTATATGTACAAGTTTATCGGTTCAGACCTGGCTTAGGTTCAGATTGTCTGAAAGACCATATTTTCTCAAATGAACATGGCAGAACTCTAATAATAATAATAATAATAATAATAATAATAATAATAATAATAATAATAATAATAATAATAATAATAATAATAATAATAATAATAATATTTTTTTATTTATAGCCCGCCCCTCTGCGCAGCAATCAGGGCGGGTTACAGCATTTGAAAACGAACAAAGTTAAAACATTCCCTGATCCCACAATCCATCCTCCCAACCCCTTAAAACAGAATTAAACCAAAGAAAAATTAAAATATAACAATGCCATAAAACAATAAAACAACAACAAGGAATCAGTTATACCAACAGGATAAAAACCCATCTCCCAATAGACAGCTGTTATTCTGGGAAGGCCTGGCTTTCTTGGTGAGGATACGAGACAGAGCCTTCTCAGTGGCTGCTCCCACCCTTTGGAACTCCCTCCCATGAGAGGCTAGCCTGGCCCCTTCTCTGTCCTCCTTTTGCCAACAGGGAAAAACTTCTCTTTTCAAGTAACTGTATCCAGAGAGGCATCTTATTGTGGTCTTGGCTTTTCTAAGTTTTTAATGGTTTTATACTTTTAGGTTAGCATTGTGATGACCACCTTATTCTCTTTAATTACTTTTCTTTGATGGCAGCACCATGGGCCTATTAATCCTACCTGCCACTTATGTGTGAAACGGATTCACTATTTTACCTTTCTTAAGGGACTTAAGCCCAAACAAAATGTTGTTTTGGTCGTGTGTTTCCTTATCTTATTGAAACGTCAGACAAGACTGTATTCAAATAAGATTAAATGTTCTTTTGAAAGTTATCTTGGGGGCACAGTTATCAAATTTGCAGACGACACCAAATTA